CCTCATGAGTAGCCAAAATTGATAATGTTGCTTGATGCAGGTTCTATTCTTTGTAGCCATGAAGCGGAAACAACTTACTCATGCTGGATGTTTGATCTCTTGGTTGGTGGCACCTTAAAATGTTGGAGGGCTCAATGTGGCTGTGAACAGACGACTAATCCTTGATGATGTGTCATTAACTTGCAAAACATGAGGAATTAATCGTGTGATGTTGTCTTCAGTGATCTTTATAGATGTTGACCAACCGCAACGGTGCTTGGTAAAATGTACTTTGTTTTGTGAAATATTGGTGATGAGAAGAGCCTGTTCAAGTTTTGTTGCCCTTTGGTTGTCCATTTGTGCCATCAATAATGCGCTGTAGTACATCCGTGTAGAACTAATCTACTTTATTTTTATTTTTTTTGCACAAGGCGTTAAGACTTTTTCTTCAGAAATTCCTATGGCTTGTGTGCGTACATGTCATTCTGCCGCCCGCTGCAAAAAAAAACGTCACATTTTCTTTTGGTACTAACACTATAACAACAACAACAACAACAAAGCCTTTAGTCCCAAACAAATTGGGATAGGCTAGAGGTGAAACCCATAAGATCTCGCAACCAACTCATGGCTCTGGCACATGGATAGCAAGCTTTCACACACCTTTAGTCCCAAACAAGTTGGGGTAGGCTAGAGGTGAAACTCATAAGATCTCGCAACCAACTCATGGCTCTGGCACATGGATAGCAAGCTTCCACGCACCCCGGTCCATAGCTAGCTCTTTGTCGATACTCCAATCCTTCAGTCTCTCTTAACGGACTCCTCCCATGTCAAATTCGGTCGACCCCGCCCTCTCTTGACATTCTCCGCACGCTTTAGCCGTCCGCTATGCACTGGAGCTTCTGGAGGCCTGCGCTGAATATGCCCAAACCATCTCAAACGATGTTGGACAAGCTTCTCCTCAATTGGTGCTACCCCAACTCTATCTCGTATATCATCATTCCGGACTCGATCCTTCCTCGTGTGGCCACACATCCATCTCAACATACGCATCTCCGCCACACCTAACTGTTGAACATGTCGCCTTTTAGTCGGCCAACACTCCGCGCCATACAACATTGCGGGTCGAACCGCCGTCCTGTAGAACTTGCCTTTTAGCTTTTGTGGCACTCTCTTGTCACAGAGAATGCCAGAAGCTTGGCGCCACTTCATCCATCCAGCTTTGATTCGATGGTTCACATCTTCATCAATACCCTATGTTCTATATAATGCATAAAGTTCAACTTTGATAGTGTGATGGCACGGCAGCTGCAATCCGCCATGCCAGGGAAGTTCTAGTGATGCAATTTTTCTCTCAGTAATCTTAAGTTTTAGCTTGAGACGAGTGTTCTTTTTCGCTTGAGAAAGCAAAATCTATAGATATTCTCCAGGGTTTAGAATTGTGAACATCTTTAAGGTGCTTGAATTTCAGATTCAGAAATACATCCACGTCCATGCCTGCTTGGACCAAGCCTAATCAATTTTTTTCCAGGCGTCATTCTTTGAAGCTTTTGATTCATCGCGAGCTATTAATCCACTTTATATGCTGTGTAACAAGATCATTTGTTTGTATTATTATTGGTTGCTAACTGGATTATGGTTCGGACGTTCAGTTCAGCTATATACCTACTGCTTTTTTGTTGTTGCAGATAATCATTTCCTGAGGCTAATTACGCATGAACTTATTCACATAGAAACTTGGAAAATCCGTATCATTTTCAGCAAGTGCTCTGTGTCCTTTCAATACAAGAAATGCATACACTTCCTCTGTTCGAAACTTTTTGAAGTTCCAAGTTCGTGAGTGAACTAACAGCACACACATGCATGTCAAAAATTTGTCCGAAGAGCATCTCTAGAAGATTCCGCGTCCTAAAAGTCCAAAGCTCACTCCCAATTCAAAAGGTCGATTTTTTTTAAGAGAGTACACATTTTTCTCATCTACAAGATCCCTAAAACTTAACCTCTTCAATTTTTTTCTCTTGCCAATTGATCCAACTATTTCCAAACATGCCACATCACAGTACTTAAGAATTCAAATACATTGAAAATTTAATGTTCTCAAAACAACATACGGTCCAAATAAAATCCTTCATAGACACCACGACATTTGCCAACTCAAAGTCATCATCTTCTTCTTCCTCCGATGATGAATATTTGAAGATGATCTACACATAGGAGAGTTTAACGATCCATTTGAGACCTTTCTCAGATGAAAAACAGAAACAGAATGCAAAATTAAATAAATCACGGAGGCAATTTACAAACACCATGTGAGCGGACAGGGTCAGAGAGACGGCGGCCGGTAACGGAGCTCGGGCTAGGGCCGAATGGCAGCGAAGGACACCGG